TGCCCCATGATTCAGAGCTCCTCACTGGTGCCTGCAGACATGGCATTGCACGAGCCACTTGGGTTTCAGAGCACCCTCCTTGGTGGGAGCACACGCATTAATTTTAGCCATAATAATGTATCTGCTCTATTCAGACGTGCTCCAGTTAATTGCGGTTTAAAAACTGTAGTCTGTGATGTGCATTAGTTCTTGCTGAAAGTGCATTTCATAAAGTCACTTAATGACTTTGCAAATCACCAAGATACTTCTCTTGCTGTTAATTATAATGTAGTTTTAGTTTGGAGATTGTGGGTTAATGATATAATTTCTCCCTTTTCTTTGACACATTTAGAGAAGGGCTCTTGATTTATTTTATCCCCAGTTTTTGTGCAAGCACTGAGGGGCTGTGAGCTTTCCTCAGGAGCAGGCAGCTGCTTGCATTCTATGACAGGTTTATCCCAGGATTTCAGACACTCATTCCCAGTGGCTGTAACAGTAGGTGCCAGCAGATGTCGTGCTTCTAACAGAAAATGACATCTCTTAACTTTTGCTCCCATTTTTAGGAGTTGTAACTCCCTTCCTGTCTAACTTCCTTCCCTTCAGCTGATTGGAAAAATAATCTGTTTTTCTCTCTTGCTCCACCCTTATTTTAGAAGTACTAATGACCCTTTTGTTTTTAATTTACTTTAGTAAAAAACAACCTAAACTACCAAGAAAATGGGTACAGCTGAGCTGCTGAACTGTGGCTTTGCATAATTGTAGGTATGCAATATTGAAACCAAATGAATCCTTAGGAAGTGAAAGGTCAAGTAGTTTGGCAAAATGACCTCTAGCAAATTAAACTTGGTTTTAGGACATAGATCATAGTGCCTTCTTTAGCTAATGGGTGTGATAATGCAGCCCAGATTTTTCTAGGCAACTATTAGTGTTTCCTTACAATTACCTGGAAGGGAAGATTTTAATTAAACCTGGGTGTGTTTTGTATTAGGCAACAAATCCTAATGAGTCTGCAGTGGATGAAGACCAGGATTCCACAGGCGCTGATGACTGCCGAGATCCACGTAGAGTGTTGGACATTCCTGCACCCTCTGGATGCTGCCCACGTCACACTAGTGGGATTTTTTCCCAAACAACCTGTTTGCATAAGCTGAACTCTTCAGGGCTAGTGCATAGGAATATTTCTGACTGTTGTAAATGAACTCTGTTGCACATCAGGGCAACTAGCATGAATGTTGGTGCCAGTTCTCATATTCATTAGAGTATAACTTCTGTTTCACTGGTTTGGAAGTGGGGGAAGAGGGAGGAAAACAGGGAGGAAGAGGAAGGTGTTTGGGCTTTGTTCACTTATTCCTGAAGTGTGAAACAGTTTGATAGTCCAAGGTACTCATATCTTACATTTTTAAAGTATTGCCTATTTATGATCATACTGCAAATATGGTGTGGGTATTTGGTTTTATACAAAGCATTAAAAGGGTGTATACTGTTGTCCTTTCTTGTGAGTTTCTGCTCTGGATAACTGCTGCTAAGAATGAAACTTGCAGTTTGGTCTGAATATCCCATTTGGGTGAGATTAGGTGCTGTTCTGCTTTTTAATTATTTTTTTTAATTAACATAGTAACAGCAAAAAATTCTGGTCTTCAAAATGTATAAATTAGGAGTGAAACTGGCCTTATTTTTAGACAATCTGTTTGTCAGCTGGATTTTATGCTAAGTGACTCTGACTGGAGAATGCCTCTGGGAATGTAGTGTCCATGCATAATCTGCCACTCGTTAACTAAGGAATTTCTCAATGACTACAGAGTATGGATTTGTAAATATGTTTTGAGGGTTTTTTTCCCGTTACATGATGTTTGCTGTTGTCATAGGTGACAAATCTATGTTATGTATCATGTTTTCCTGAGCCCTGGATGAATTTTTGTAATTGAATACAAAATAAAAGGAAAAAAAAGGGGGGAGGCTGGCAGAACAGCTGATGACTAGAAAATTTATATTTAAAGAAGTATCTGTTTGCTTTATCCTTTTTGGGTTTTTTTGTTTGTTTGTTTTTTGTTGGTTTTTTTTTGTCATTAATAAACAACTTGACTGCCTGTTTTGTTCTCAAGTGCTACATAGGACTGTTTTTGCCAAGACTTGAGCAATAATTTTGTGACCAGCATTGGTGTAGTCAGTTCTTTTGACAGCCAGAATTTGTAGGTTTCATGAGGTAGACTGGTATTTTGTTGTTCCAGCTCAAATTTTCCATTATTGACTAATTTCCAGATTTCTCTTTTTTTTTTCTCAAGTCCAGGTATTGGATTCTTTATGTGCTCAGCTTTCCCTGGTGCATTTTCCACAGTGGCACAAGGTAGAAAAACAAATACTGAGTCTGATCCCTACAACAGTTGCTGAGTTGCTGGGTGAAACATCTCCAGAAACAAAACCAGCTTGTGTTGTCCCTCACAGGAGTCAGAACAGCACTGAGTTGCTGGAGTGCTTCCAAAACATAAGGATTTTTGAGGATTACCACACAATTTACCTGAGAGGGATAAGAAATTGCCACCAAAGTTTTGTCAAGGGTCAGTATGAGAAGGTTTTAGTGGAACTAGAATTTTCTGCAGGGTTGTTGGTGCACTGTGTGTTTCCAAGGACAGATAACCCTCATGGTTGGAGGCTGTTCTTGGGAAATTTCCTCCTAGGATCTCTATGTTCTAGTACAGTGGAATCAGCTCGAGGACATGGGACTCTACACAACAAACATTGCTAACTCTTGGCAATTTCACTCACTTTTAGGGAGTGGTTCTCCCTTGGATTGTTACAGATGAGCTGGAATTCTTGACTGAGAAGTCAAGATGCAGGACAGTGCTGTGCTTTCAGCCTCTGAGAGCTGCGGTGCCAGGGTTTGAGGCCTCAGCTCTGGGCATAGCTGGTGGCAGAGGGGTCTGGAGTGAGGAGGGAACCAGGCAGGGAATTGAGGGATTGCTGCTCCTCCCCTGAGCACAAATGTGTTTGTAGCAGGCCAAAGGGTGTTTCTTTGCTTCAGGCAGCTATTTTAGCACAGGGTTGACAGCCTGGAGCTGCGGCTCCTCATGATGTGCATTTGAAGTGGGGCTGAAGCCAGTGGCTCTGCTCACCCCTTCCAAGAGGTGTGAATCACAGAATCATGGAATGAATGTGAAATGAAAAACAAAGGAGTTGGTGATGTTTGGCAGCACTGCTGGACTGTGGGAACGTTCACTGAGCAGCAGGAGAGAACTGAGTTGAGGTCCTGCTGCTGCAGACAGCACCTCACTGCTCTGGGTGAGCACACGTGTGGGACAGTGTCATTCCAGTGCATCCAGCTGTCCAACACTCCCTGTAGTCACTGGAATCATGGGAACGTTCTTCCCTTCGGCCACCATCCTGCAAGTTCAGCCTGAAGCTGTGCCACCTTCTCCTGACTCAGATCTGACTGATGCTTGGTTAGGACTTTACCTGGCCAGGTAAAACCAGCCTCATTGAATACCTCTAGACTCATCTTGTGGTGAAACCCTGGTACATCCAACACAAACATGTACCTGGTCTGGTCCTTTTTCTGTCCCTATGCTGACAGTCTCTTTATAATTACTTTGTAGGATTCCTTAAACATTTTTGTGGGATTTTGTTGGCTGAATAGTTTCATGGAGGGGACCTTTGGCCACGATTTCTTTTCTGTGACCATCACAGAGAGAAAAACAAGTGGTGTGCCAGCCAGTGAAATAAAAAAAACAACTGAAAGTTGCTGTGCAAGTTATTCCAGTGTTCTGGTGCTGGTTTTATTTTTTCCTGTCATTGCTTAATTTCTCAAAATTTATGCAAAGAATTTAAGGTGGAAAATTCAGATGAAGTTTGAAATAGCATTTATCTGTGATGGTACAGATAAAAGTGTGCTCTTACAGATAAATGGAGGAACTGTTGCCAGATTTTGGGAAAGGAAACCAGGTAAATGTTCAGCTGTGGCTGAAATTCATCATCGAAGTGATCTAATACGAGATTTTTTCTATCATATTAATTGAAGGGATTCTCATTTAATAATCCACAAGCATCTTACTCTTATATCCCTTTGCTTTTATTTATAGCTTAAACAGTGGCAAAATCTTTTAGACAGAAGATCATATGTTGAGCTGACTGATAATCAACCAAGAGAATGTGATGTAAGTTCTGAGTGATTTAGGATTTGCTTTAGGTTTAGTAAATGAATTGGTAGTTTTGGTGTGGTAACGAAAACAAATATAAGAATTCTTTTTAAATACAACTGGTAGTTTTACTGGTATTTCATATTGTCCTCAAGTCAGCACTGAACTTTTTTTTTCTAGGCACCATGGATCTAAGTATTAATAAAGTACTTTTGGTGTCCTCAACTACATTTCTATTGCTTTTCAACACTTTTTTCTCATTTGTGAATGTTTATATTCAGGTACCTCTGGAGGAAAGTGACACTTTCTGTTCCTGGTTGTTCCTTTGTGTATTCTAAAACCCTTCACTGTTTTCATTAATCTATTAATTCACACCATGAGGAGAACTTGAAGCCTCTTGCAATACTGGAAAGGCATCCAAGAGAGCTGGAGAGGACTGTGGACAAGGACCTGGAGTGACAGAGCAAAAGGGAATAGATTTTAAGTGATGGGGGTAGGTTTAAATGGGATATTGAGAAGAAATTATTTAATCAGAGCAGGGTCAGGCCCTGATACAGGTTTCCCAGAGAAGCTGTGGCTGCCCCATCCCTGAAGTGTTCAAGGCCAGGTTGGATGGCTGGAGCAACCCGGGCTAGTGGAAGGTGTCCCTGGCCATGGCAGGAAAGTAATTACCTTGAAGTTCCCTTCCAAACCAAACCACCCCAGGATTGAACCAAAGTGGCGATGGCCACAAGCATGGCCACATGACTGGTGAGTGAGGGTGGCACACGCGTTCCTGGAAGCGTTCCTGGAAGCCTTCCCGGCCGGCGGGAGCAGGGAGCGCCCAGGTACCCCGGCCCGCCCGGCCTGAGATAGCGCTTCTGCCGCTTTCGGCTCCGTCAGCGGCTCCCGGCCGCATCCCCGCCCCGCCCCGGGGGCGGCACCGCCAGGAGAGGCATCACCGGCAAAGGCAGCATCGCACCCCGCTCCCCGCACACGCCAGGATTTGCCCGGGGAAGGTGAGCGGGAC